CCTAAACCCTAAACCCCTAAACCCTACCCTAAACCCTAAACTACCCCTACACCCTAACCCTAACCCACCTAAACCCTTAAACCCTAGCTTTCCGCCTGACGCATCAGGCCGCAACAGAGAGCCATCTGCTGGCCACCCATGCCTTGAAGCACAGCGGGTTTTAAGGGGCTTAGGGTTAGGGTTTAGGGTTAAGGGGCTTGCAGGGGCTTGGGGTTTTTCAGGGCTTAGGGTTTGTGCTTTGGGGTTTTGGGGCACTTTTGCGTGGTGGTTGGGCTGGGGGCTTTGACTTGGGGTCTCAGCATTTAGAGTTTCCGGAGGGCGGGGGGTTATGTTTAGTGGCATTTTGGCAGGTGAGTTTAGGGGCATAGGGGTTTAGAGTTTCGGGGGCTGCGGGTTGAGGGTATAAGTGAAACTACTTCGGGGCGTTGCTTCTCGCAGATTTCGAACTCCACACCTCAGGCGTTGGATCATACGCCAAGAACCCTAAACTCGAAACCCGAGGCCCTTAAACCCTAAACCCTAAACCCTACACCCTGAACCCTAAACCGTTGACCTGAATGCTTATCCCAGCTGCCGCGGCCCTCCGGCAGCGTCGTCTCTCCAGCTTTTGCGGGCCTGCGGTATGCGGGGTTTTGATTGAAGCCGTTTGGTCAAAGGAATTTACCTAAACCCTAAACCCTAAACCCTAAACCCTAACCCTAAACCCTAAACCCTAAAACCCAAAACCCCCAAACCCAAACCCAAACCACCAACCCAAAACCCAAACCCTAAACCCTAAACCCTAAACCCTAAACCCTAAACTCAAACCCTAAACCCTAAACCCTAACCATAAACCCTAAACCCTAAACCCTAAACCCTAAACCCTAAACCCTAAAACCCTAAGGGTAGTGGGGAGTGTTTGAGAGCTCTCGGCCCTAATAACACAAAAGAAGACAGCAAAAAGTGAGACAGTGAACCAATCAAAAACCCCCTTCCCCCTGCGGTTCTGAGTTTCCCCTATACTCCCCCCCCAAGCTTCCCCCCATTTAAGGCTATTGCGGACAATTACGGGGGAACTTTGAGTAAAGCCCAGGGAATATCGACAGCAAAGGGTTCGGGGGTCGGGGGGGGGTGGCCTTGGTGTTGAAGCTGTGCTCCTGGAACACAACAACGGATGTTAACCAGACAGCCCACCACAAGTTCATCCATTCACGCTAGGATGGGCCCTTAAAAACCCAGCAAAAATATTCTGAATATGATCCTCTTACACCCACTAAGGGGAAAATAAGATGTCCCAAAGGACTACCGATTTACGCTAACTAACTCTGACCTAGCTCTCGGCTGTGACTGTGCTGTTGGGGCTTCCCCACCCTGACCACACACCAACCTGTACCGGGCAAGGGTTCAGGGTTTAGGGTTTAGGGTTTAGGCACAACCCTTCACACCCACGCTCAAGCAGCACCGGGATCAGGGAAAAGGTAGAATGGAAAAACCTATGGCTGCCAGGCCCTCAAAGCTCTAACCCTAAACCCTAAACCCTAAGCCCGAAACCCTAAAACGCCGGCCGTGGGTCCCCGGGCCCGGCGTGTGTGGTGATCTTTTCCTGTGCCGCTTTCAGGGTTATGGGATTAAGACTGCAGGACCCCTCTGCAGGCTCCCGTTACTTCTCTAATAACCAAGGGGAAGAAAGGGCTAAACCCTTTTTTTATTCCTACAAAATAAGGAAACCCAAAACAAGTATAAAGATTATTATTCCTAGTAAATAAGGAAACCCCAAAAATCTCAAGCTCAACTATTGGCGAAGTAGGGCAAAGCTCTCACTTGTGATTTCATGCAGCTGGGTCGTTTCGGGTTTAGGGTTTAGGGTTTAGGGTTTGGGGTTTGGGGTTTAGGGTTTAGGGTTTAGGGTTTCGGGTTTAGGGTTTAGGGTTTGGGGTTTGGTGTTTGGGGTTTGGGGTTTGGGGTTTGGGGTTTGGGGGGTCGGGGGCCTCAGGGCCAAAGCTTGGGATGGTTGCCCACACAGAAAGTGCGGCAGATAGGCAGATGTTTCGGGAGAGCGCGGTTGCTTGAACCCTCGAAGTTTGATGCTTGCCCACCAAAGGCCCACACAGAGGCGAGGATCGGACTTCACAAAGTAGCAGGACCAGCTTTAGTAGGAAAAAAAAGGAGTGACCGTGCATTTCTCCCCCAAAACCAAACTGTCGAAGCCCTCAACTCTACACGCCCTACGCACCCAACGAAAGCCTCCCTTCTGTCCCCGCAGGCAACTTTCTCTGCGATCGCTTTCCACTGCAAACCAAGCATTGGCTCTCCCCGAAGCCAAACCAACTCCTAAACGCGAAGCTCCAAACCCTGACTCCTTACTTACGAATTTTCAAAGCCTACTACTACAAAGCCCTAAACCCTAAACCCCCCCCCATTCATGATGCTCTCTGGGATGCGTTTGGAGTCTTCGTTTAGGGTTTAGGGTCTAGGGTTTAAAGATACTAAGCTTTAGGTAGACCTAAGCTGAACTCAACAGTGCTGGTCTGATGGGAAATTCTTCAAACTACCTCCTAAGAGACAACTAAATGTCTCAGCCCTTACAACAATACACCCTAACACCCAAAACCCCACAAACCCCTAAAACTCTACACCATATATCCCAAGCCCCCATAACCCCAAAACCCCTAAACCCTAAAGCTTACCCCGAGCTGCGAACTGAAGCCTCAATCTGCAGGATAAAGAACTTAACTCTGTATGGATGGCCCGTAAATCTCTCTGAAAAAATGTTTCTGAAGATGGTCTTCTTAAACCCGAGAAGGGTTTAGGGTTTAGGGTAAGGGAAAATATACAATGTCCCAAGGGCCTACTTAGAATCTGTGTAGGGATAGTTACACGGCCCATTAGTATGGGCCCTTAGACGGGACTCGTTTTTACCCCTTACAACGCTACAAACCCCCTGAACCCTAAACCCTAGACCCTAAACCCTGAATCCTAAACCCTAAACCCTAAACCCCAACCCCTAAACCCCAAAGAAACCCATGGTCCCATACTTCAGAACCTTTTCGAGAAGGTAAGGGAGCACAATAAGGGACCATGTAGCAACCTCAACCCCAATGAGCCTACAGGGTTTTGGGTTTGGGTTAGTATGGCTTATACGTAGGGTTTATGGGATCTAAGGCTTGGGTTTACAGGTTTTACAGGGTCTAGGTTTTGGGCTAATGGCCTTTATTGTGCAGGCTTTGTAGGTGTTATGGGGTCTGCAGGGCGTAAAGGGTTACAGGAAGCCCTCACCCAGACCTATGAGGAGCCTCATCGTCACGACCTATCCTGAACTCTTGAAAATGAACCTTCAGAACCGAAAACGGCCTGATGACCCGAACACCCTACTACTCATAACCCGAATTGTAGGCCCAATAACCCTCAGAACCCTAGTAAGCCCACTGTCTTGACCCTAAACCCTAAGAGCCCTAAACCCTGAACCCTAAACCCGAAACTCTAAACCCTAAACCCGAAACCATAAAGACCCTAAACCCGAAAACCCATCCAATGCTTGCTTCGAAAGCCTTCTGCTGTCCCCTTGAGGCAGGTGAAGGGGAGGGACCTGGGCTGTGGGAACAATCTGGGGCGGCCTGCAGGACTCTGAACCTTAAAGGGTTGGGGTTTAGGGTTTAGGGTTTAGGGTTTAGATTTTGGGGTTTAGGGTTTAGGGTTTAGGGTTTAGGGTTTAGGGTTTAGGGTTTAGGGTTTAGGGTTTAGGGTTCAGGGCAAGCTAATCCCCCAACCCCTAAGTGTGAGGGCCTAGGCCCTGTGAACTCTGTGCTCGCGTGTGCTTGCGTGCAAGGGGAGTCGGGGATCGCCCCAGCCGCCCGATCCCCAGACCCAAGCTCTGAACTCATGAAATAGCCTCAAACCCTCAACCTGTCGGCCCGAGCCGAAACCTTCTAGGGCTCGAGGGCCCCAGACGTCGATGAAGGGTTTAGGGTTTAGGGCTGTTTGGGGCTGTTTGGGGGGTTGAGGGTTTAGGGGTCGGAGATCAAAACACTTCATCTCCGACCCCTAAACCCTCAACCCCCCCTAAAACCCAAACCTGAAACCCTAAACCCTAAACCCTTCATCCATGTCTGGGGTGTCTGGGGCCCTGGAAGGTTTTCGGCTCGGGACGACAAGCGTGCTGGCGGGTACTTCAAAACTGCAAAACTGGAGCGGTTGCGGGTTGAAGGGTTCGGAACTGACGGGTTTAGGTTTTAGGCTTAGGATTGAGGGTTTGAGGGTTTCGGGGTTTAGGATTTAGCGTTTAGGGATCAGTATAGGAGTCTTCATCAAGGGCCTCTACTTGGGGGTCTCCGTCGGAGACCCCCGGGGCTTAGGGATTTACACTCCTTCATCATCGGCTCGACCCTAAACCCTAAACCGTAAACCCTCGACCCTAAACCCTAAATCCCAAAAATCTAAACCCTGAGGTTACATGGAGCGTTGTGACTGCTGCCGATCGCCACTACATCGCAACCCTTGACCCCACAATTTCAACACCCAAGCACCAGTTCTTACCAAAAGTTATGCGGATGCTCAAGCCCTATACTGCAATTTGCTTAAGAACCACGCCAAAAACACGAATATTCGTCCTTACAAGGGTAACTAAGGGAGTAATATCTCCTGTTTTTGTTGGGGGGTTTTCAGCAAAGGGTAGAAGAACTTGCGGCTCAGACTCTCCAACATGTAGGGGGGTTCAGGGCTTCCGATGTCGGATTCGAGGTGCCGTGCACGCAGGCATGTGGCTTTCCTTTTCTTGCGCGCAGGCGGACTGCGCACCTCAGTGCAACCTCCTCCTTCGACTGACTCTGGGACCTCTACCCTTTAGAGGGTCCGGAGCACACTAACGACCAAAGGTGGGAACTGAATCCAGCTGTGGAGGGGGGAAGCCAACCCCAAGACACTACGTACACTAAGAAGGGGGAAGGGCTCACAATCGCATACATGAAAGACGGAGAAAACCTCAGAGCAGCAGCCCCTAAACCCTAAACCCTAAACCCTAAAGCCTAAACCCTAAACCCCACTCCGTGCGAAGTACCAGTCGGGTGGTCCTCTGCGCGATTTGCCCCGCTGCTCTGCCGGAGGCATCCCATTGCCCACTGACCGCTGACCCTCTCCGGGTCCGCCCCTGCGCCGACCAGCAATCGGACCTAGTTCATTGTTGGGAGAATATTAAAAATGTAAATTTAGGGTTTAAGTACCCTTAGATAACATTAAACATGTGAATTTATAGGGTTTAAGTACCCTTGGATAATATTGAAAATTTCAATTAGGGTTTAAGTACCCTTAAACATGTAAAACGTTACCCAACTATGACAAAGGGACAATGTTCGAGAACTGGGCATGGCAGGCACATTGCAGTGGGGTGCTTCCGTGGTCATCGGCGCGGTCCGTCGCAGCTCTTGCCTCAAGCAGCACTTGGACCACTCCCTCCTCGGTTGCCCAGTAACCTAGGAATAAAAAGGGTGCCCTTGTTTTGCTTAAAAGGGGTTTATAAGGGAACCTAAACCCCCCAAAAAAGGGAATAAGGGTACTACTGGGCATCCTAGCCTCATGGCCGTGCCTGCAAGCCAGGTGCAAGGCGGTCAAGCGCAAGTGGTTGGCCGCGTCTATCTCCGACCTTGCTTGGAGCAGGAGCTCGACAACCTCCATCTTCCCACGCAGGGCTGCTTTGGACAACGGGCTCTCGCCACCTTGGTAGCCCAGCGCGTAACCATATTCTGATAAGGGTACCTCTTTCTGGGGGGGGGGGGGGGGTTGCTCTACAAGGGAACCTCGAACCAGTAGAAGAGGAAAAGGGTACCACGGGGCTATCTCGCCACGGTGGTTGGCCTCCTTGGCATCAGCCCTGGCGTCGAGCAAGAGCCGGACAGTTGGCAGGGACCCCGCCCAGGAGGCCTTGATCAAAGGGGTCTCGCCGCAGCTGTCGCTGGCATTCCTCTGTGAGCCCCTTGCTTTCATCCCTCTATTCCTAAACAAGACCCTCTAAAAAACCAAATTAAGGCAGGGCAAATATCAAATCTCCCAGGGGTCTACCTAGATTCTTGTCCGCCCCTGCCCCAAGCAGCAGATGAACCATTTTGGAGTTTCCCGACAAGGAGGCCTTGTACAAGGGCGTCTCATCATGGCAGTTGGTCTTGTTTGGGTCTGCCCGAGCTTCAATCAGCATGCGGGCCACCTGTAGCCAACGCCTCTGGCCCTCAGAAGAGGCCCTGTACAAAGGAGTCTCGCCCCGGTCGTTGGCCTTGTCTGTGTCTGCGCCAGCATCCAGCAAGAGGCGGGCGACGTCGCTCCTTCCTCTTTTTTTTGTTGCTTAGTAGGGGAGAGGGGGAATGAGGTACCCTATAGAATCCCCTTAAAGGGTATATATATATATATATGAATATATATATATATATATATGATATATATATATATATATATGATATATATATATATATGTACATATATAGGGCCCTAGAATTCCATCATTCCCTGCTAACCCACAGTAAGTCCTTTGAAGGATGCCAGGTTCAAGGGAGTGTTGCCGAAGGAGTCCGACTGGTCCGTGTCAGCGCTGGCCTCCAAGAGGAGACCAATGATCTCCTTAGTTGTTTAGTAGGGTTTAGGGTTTAGGGTTTAGGGTTTAGGGTTTAGGGTTTAGGGTTTAGGGTTTAGGGTTTAGGGTTTAGGGTTTAGGGTTTGGAACTAAAGGTGAACCTTTGGGATTATCTAGGGGTGATATAGGGAGTCCAGAGGCCTTCTATAGAGATTACAAAGGGATTATCTAGGGATTGTTATACCCCAAAGAGGTTAAAAAGGCTACCTACTGTATACTACTAAGTCTCTAAGAAGCCATGGCCGCAGGCTAGGAGCAGGGGGCGCCGGCGCACGGAGTTCGGATTCAGGGGACTCTGCAGCAGGTTTTCCACCTCCGCCACCCTGTTCCCTGCAATCGCCTGTAGGAGCCTAGTTTTCATTCTTGGGATCATACTGAACATCTAAATTTCTATTCCTTATTGCTTTTAAGTACCCTTAAAGATGTAAAATGTTACCCAACTATGACAAAGGAGGCCTCTCTTCCTTCTCCGCTTCGCCTGCGCAGAAGGGTAGAAGCACGAGCTGCAGCTCCACCGCTCTCTCCAAGGTGTCGCTATCCTTAGCCGCTGAGTTCATGAGACCCCCCCCCCCCAAAAAAAAAAAAAAAGTTGCACTTTCAGTTCTATAGGGGATTATAGTAAACCAAAAAAGTGTAGTTTATCAAGTGTACTCATTCGGCTAGTAAGTGTCAGCCAGCAGGGTGCCGTCCTGCAGCACCAGCCGCTGCTTGAATCTAGGCTGCCCGCACAGCCTGTGCAGATGCCGCTTTAGGACGCGGATCGGATAAACCTCCGATTCCGTCATCGACAGAAACTCCGCCAGTTGCATGGCAAGGACTTCCCCACCCGAAGCCTTCCATACTCGCAGCATCTGCCGATGCCACTTCAAGCGAAGGTGCACCCTACACCAGCCCAAAGGCCCTGAACTCGAGACCCACTAAGCCCGAAAACCCCTAAACTTCTCGAACCCGAAATGGTCATTTCTCTCGCCCTATTCTTTAGGGTGCCCCAAAAGGGGACCATAATTTAGAGGACCAAATGGCTTAGCCGTCCCTTTGCGGACTTTCGAGCCCTTGGTTCGTTGCGAACGAGGATGGCTTTGGGGTTTCGGGTTTTGGGTTCAGGGTTTAAGGGCTTGAGAGTTTGGGGCTCGGGGTTTAGGGCTCAGGACCCTTTTAGGGTTTTGGGGTTTATTCGCGGGCTTTAGGCTTGGGGATTGGACTTAGGTGGAAGGAGCAACTCGCAGCCCTTGGTTACAGGGGCCTTGCGCCTGTGCTAAAGACTCCGGGTCCGGGGCGAAACTTCGCGTGGAATCGCCATGCACCCCCAGTTTGCTGGTACCACCCCCCCCCCCCCCCGCACTGCAGTATACCCTGCCTTATAGGGCTCTCTAAGAAGCTTCAGGGCAGGTACCAGGTATTGTGGGCCCATGGTTGAAAACAACCTCGGGGGAACGCACTTCGGTCGTGCTTGCTTCAGGATCGATGTCTGGTATCGATGGTGTTGTTCATGACGAGTCTGCCTTTTGACAGTATATTGTGACTGTCATGCGTGTGACTAAGACCGACTAATTGTGATGACTATGATTCTCAACCCTAAACCCTAAACCCTAAACCCTAAACCCTAAACCCTGAACCTCTGGGTTTGCGGCTCAGGTGCAAAGCACAGACAACCTGTTTTTGGAACCAGCATAGACATACCTTGAGAACCAAGACCTACTGTTGCTAGGCTACCTTCCCAAAGAAGGAAGGTGAAAAGCAAACAAAACGCAATGTCCCATTGTAATCTTTAATCATAATATACCTAAACCCTTAACCCTAAACCCTAGACCCTAAACCCCAAACCCCAAACCCTAAACTCTAAACCCTAAACCCTTACGTGGAGGGTTTGGGCTCTGTGTGTTGTAAACTCCCAATGCTCTCCTGAAGCCACCTGAGTGCAGGACCCCGGCTGCGGGCACTGGGTGGGGACTCCATGCTCTTCCTCAGCTCATCCGATGCTAAACCCTAAACCCTAAACCCTAAACCCTCAAGCCTAAACCCTAAACCCTAAACCCTAAACCCTAAACCCTAAGCCCTAAGCCCTAAATCCTAAACCCTAAACCCACAAGCCAAGCTTTGTGTGTGTGTGTGTGTTGGTGGGGTGCTAGGTTTAAGGCTCCCCGACCCCTCACCCTGAAAGCCGTGGTGCTGACATCGGAGATTGGGGGACTCTGGGGTTTAGAGTATTTTAGGGTTTAGGGTTTGCTTGGGCTTGTAGGGTCCGGAATTATGGAAATAATGGGGTGTGGCAAAGATTTGGAGGGTGCGGATTTCGACTTGATAGCGATGGGACTTGCTAAGACCCATCCCCTGACTGGTTGCAACTCTGAACCCCGGGGTTTAGGCTTCAGGGTTTAGGGATTAGGGTTTAGGGTGGCTACCTAGCCCGCAGGTGCAAGATAAGGGGTGGTGTTAGCACCCACGTATTTCGCAGGAGTTTGGCAACGTACAAAATTCGAGTTGCACGCTCCTGCAGTCCTTAACCCTAAGTCCCCATGAAGTTCTGGACCTATAAACCCTGTAAGCCCTATAAACCCTGCAAACCCTTCCAACCCAATAATCCCTATAAATCGTAGAAGCTCTCTAGATCCTAACCCTATAAACCCTACAGTACAACCCGTATATACCTTTAAACCCGACAAGCCGGTAGACCCTATAAAATGAACCCTGTACCTAAGCCAACCCCACCACTGGGCACCTAAACCCTAAACCCTAAACCCTAAACCCTAAACCCTAAACCCTAAACCCTAAACCCTAAACCCTAAACCCTAAACCCTAAACCCTAAACCCTAAACCCTAAACCCGACAAGCCCTTCTCAACCGCAGGCGGCCGGCCGCCCCTCCGCAGATGCGCCCCGCAGGGACCGGGCAGCTTTCGCCCCAGAGCCCTGGGTGGCTTGGGGGTTTAGGGTCCAGGGTTTAGGGTTTGGGGTTTAGGGTTTAGGGTTTAGGGTTTGGGGTTTAGGGTTTAGGGTTTAGGGTTTCGGGTTTGGGGTTTAGGGTTTGGGGTTCGGCGTTTAGGGATAGGGGTTTGGGGTTTAGGGATAGGGTTGGGGGTTTGGGAGAAGAGGTGATCCGCGTCTTTTTCGGTTATCTGCGTCTTTCTTTGAGGGTTATCTGCGTCTCTTTTTTTGGGTTATCTGTGTCTTTTTCGTCTGGGTTTCCTGCAGGGCATCACACTTTTGGCTTCCACACAGGGTTATCTGCGTCTGTTTTTTTGGATCATCTGCGTCTTTTTGTGGCTTTCGGGTTCAGGGTTTAGGTTTTGGGCTTTAGGGTTTAGAGCTTGTAGAGTTCGGGGTTGGGGGTTAGGGGTAGGGTCTGGGGCTTTTGGCTCCGGGTTACGGTTTAGGGTTTAGGGTTTAGGGTTTGGGATTTGGGGTTTTGGCTTTAGGGTGTGGGGTTTGGGGTTGAGTGCGTAGGGTTTAAGGGTTTAAGGTTTAGGGTTTATGGTGTGGGGTTTAGGGTTTGTTTTTCGGGGTTTAGGGTGTAGGGTTTAGTTTTTAGGGTTTAGGGATTAGTTTAGGGTTTAGGGATTAGTTTAGGGTTTAGGGGTTTAGGGATTAGGGTATAGGGTTGAGGGTTTTAGGCTTTAGGGTGTAAGGTTGGGCTTTAGGGTTTGGAGCTTGTAGAGTTTAGGACACAGATAACGCGAAAAAAAGACACAAATAACGCAAAAAAGACACAAATCACCCCCTTTCCGGGGTTTGGGGCTTGGGGCTTGGGGGGTGTAGGGTTTGGGGTTTGGGGTTTAGGGTTTGGGGGTTAGGGCTCCGCCTGACTTGCACATGCAAGCGAAGAGCATCAACCAGACCTCGCCCGCGAAGCTGAAAGTGTTGCTGATGTGAATAAGTACGCGCCCTCGCGTGACCACACCCGCGTGACCCTAAACCCTAAACCCTAAACCCTAAACCCTAAACCCTAAACCCTAAACCCTAAACCACACCCGCGCCTGGCAGCAGAGTGGGTCGACAGCGAGAGGGCCTGGAAAGATGCAGCTGCTCCAACTGCCGCTCGTGGGTCGGCCGTCCCAGGTTCCTGACCTCCTCGTCCGTGAACGGTGTGAGGCAATCGCGCAGCAGCCAGTGGATCTCGAAAGCCACCGAAGTCCACAAAAGTTCATAATTTTTTGAAGAAATAAGCACAACCACACAAAAAACAGACCCACACGCAGCCTCTCAGAAGCGCTGCACAACGCAAGCCCCCCCCCCCCCCCCCCCCCCCCCCCCCCCCCCCCCCCCCCCCCCCCCCCCCCCCCCCCCCCCCCCCCCCCCCCCCCCCCCCCCCCCCCCCCCCCCCCCCCCCCCCCCCCCCCCCCCCCCCCCCCCCCCACCCCCCACCCCCACCATGCTAACGTTCTACCCTAAACCACTAAACCCTAAACCCTAAACCCTACAGCCGAGCCCCCAGACTCCCACGGCACCAGCGGAAGCGGTACTTCGCAGAGTCATGTCATCCTGCTGTTGCAGGGCTTTGGGGGGTTAGGGTTTAGGGTTTACGGTTTCGGGTTTCGGGTTTAGGGTCTATGTAGGGTCTGGGGGCTGGTGTTTGGGGTTTAGGGTTTGGGGCTTAGGGTGCAGGGCTTGCGATTTGGGGTTTGGGGTTTAGGGTTTAGGGTTTGGGGTAGGGTTTGGGGTTTAGGGCTTAGGGTTTGGGGTTTAGGGCTTAGGGTCTGGGATTTTGGGTTTGGGGTTCGGGGCTTAGGGTTTCGGGTTTGGGGTCTAGAGGGTCTGGGGTTTGGGGTTTAGGATTTGGGGTTTAGGGTTGGGGTTCAGGGTTTGCTTTGTGGTTTAGGTTTTGAAGTTCAGCGTTTCGGGTTTAGTGTTTGGGGTTTAGGGCTTGGGGTTAGGGTTTGCGGCGTGGAGTTTTTAGGGTTTGGGGCTTTGGGCTTTTGGGTGTAGATTTCAGGGTTTAAAGTACTTATGGACCCTTCCTTTGGGTTTTCGGGTATCTCAGGAAATCTCCGTGACGGAATGTGATGATGCGTGCAGACCCCGCAAGTTTGCTACCCCCGCCCCCCCCCCCCCCCCCCCCCCCCCGCCCCCCCCCCCCCCCCCCCCCGCCCCCCCACCCCCCCCCCGCCCCCCCCCCCCCCCCCCCACCCCCCCACCCCCTCCCCCCGCCCCGCCCCCCGCCCCCCCCCCCCCCCCCCCCCCCCACGCCTCCCCCACCACACCCGATTCCCCTCAAGACAGTTTAAGTCTGGAACGCATTCCGCCCCGCATCAATGCGCAGCAACTGAAAAACTTGCCGAAGTGCCGAGAGTGCGTAAAAAAAAAAAAAAAAAAAAAGGCCTGCGATATTCAAGTAACCCCCCCCCCCCTTCACCCAACAAACCCCCCCCCCTCCTCCCCCTCCCCCCCCCCCCCCCCCCCCCCTCCCCTACAAAGAAAGGGTGGGGGGGGGGGTGTGGGGGGTGGGGGGGGGGGGGGAGGGGGGGGGGGGGGGGGTGCCCCCCCCCCCCACCCCCCCCCCCCCCCCCCCCCCATGCTCAATTCCACATTTCCTCTGCCATGTTTGGTAGGATTCCTATTGCTTTTTATGCGGAATCCTTCTAATTTCAAGAGGATTTCTATTAATGTAACAAGATTTCTATTTGCCTTCTTTTTTCGTAGCATTTCTAATCGGACTTCTACTAGTTTTAATAGCAGTTCAATCAATTGTAATAGGAGTTGAACTTAATTCGACAAGGATTTCTATTATTTCAATACGAATCCCGTTAAACCTAATACAAATCTTATTAGAAGGGATAAAATCTCATTCATATTATTAGAAATCTTTCAAAAGTAACAAAAACCCGATTAGAATCAAAAGAAGTCCTATTAAAACG